TCTTGCTCTTCTCTTTTTCCCGCTTGAAATTCTTCACGCCAAGCTCCGATTCTCACAGTGCTTGGCCTTGGAGATGCCTATGTAAAGATAACAGCACCTGGTATTCTCTTCCCCCCTTCCTTCTAATTTCAATGGCAGGTCAAGCAAGCGGTTTGCAATTAGCATTTTACTATTAACCATTTAATATACATTGTGAAAACTAAATTAAAAGCAATCAAAGGTTTTAGCTTGCGCAGATCCTGACACTAAGCTTTGACTAATTAGGCCTGCTAAATAGATATATACCAAATACATGTAAGGCACCCACAGGCAATTCTGTCAATTTGATGAAAGGCCTAGAAATACAATAGACAGTATTTTGCTTAGGGGATGACAAGCAATTAATCTGTGCAGGGAGCAAACACCTTCCATTTCTTGCAAGGATCTCTATGTTTCTTCATTTGTTTCATCTTCAGAAACATCAATATTTGTATAGAATTTTGAGGCCTTTAAATTGCAATTTCTTAGGATTGCGCCTAACTGTTTTCCAGGTCCCACTTCATATGTATAAGGAAACTTTGTTCCTCTTCTCCTTTCGTAGATAGCATGCATTATTTGTTCCCATTTCACAGGTGAAACCAGTTGCTCCACTAAAAAGTGCTGAATCTGTTCTGGTTGCATGTATTTCTTGCTATCCACATTTGAATAGACAGGGATGAGAGGTTGTTGGATATGGATTGATTCAAGAGCTTCAGATAAAGGTTGCATTGCTGATTCCATAAGTCGGGTATGAAAAGCACCACTCACAGGCAGCATTTTTACACGTGCAAATGAGAATTTTTTTGAATTTTTCTGTAAAAACTCCAAAGCCTAAGATTAAAAAAATACTGAGAGTTACTTCACCCAAATCTAGAACTGCTTTAATGTACTTCACTTTTTAAGAACTCTGAACTGAAAACTGAACAAACAGCTGTACACTGACGAAATGTGATCCAAGCAAAAGAAAAAAAAGGTGTTTTAAAAGCATGTAATTGAATATTAGTATTAATAGTAATAGCACTACTCTTACTAGAAAAATTAGGCTGGAAACAACACCCAGGTTGGTCTAGTGGTAAAGACTCCAAGCTAGAAACCAGGAGATGGTGACTTCTAGTCCCGCCTTAGGCATGAAAGCCAGCTGAGTGACTTTAGGCCAGTCACTCTCTCTCATCCCAACACACTTCAAAGGGTCGTTGTTGCGGGAAAATAGGAGGAGGAAGAAGTATTAGGAAAAACTGTGATGTGGGCTGCCTTTAAATGCAGTTTGGATACTTCATGATGAGTGACGTCACATGACCAGATCTCTTAGCAACAACAATCCTGGTTGCCATCATAACCCTAGGACTGTGCAGGATGTTAACTGAAGACCTCATGTGACCACATGGGAAGAGGCAGGAGTCCCAGGTAAGTATGCCAGTGGGTGAGAGCTGCAGGCAGGTTGGTGGGTGCCACAGGCAGGCACTGTGGAACACGAGTGGGTGGATAGGTGCGGTGAGCAGGTGGTTACTATAGAGCATGGGTGCTGTGAGCAAAAAAGAGGCAGGAGCGGGTGTGACTTGCAACCTTCTGCCTGCTTCCCCATTGACTTTGCTTGTGGGAAGCCAGCAGAGAAGGTTGCAAAGGCAATCACATGACCTTGGGATACTGTGATGTCATAATTGCGAGCTGGTTGCCAGATTGCCTAAATTGTGATCATGTGACTGCAGGGACACTGTGACAACCACAACTTCACAGACCAGTTTTAAGTCCCCTTGTTCAGTGCCATCGTAACTTTGAACAGTCACTGAATGAGTGGTCATAGCCCAAGGACTACCCATAGTTCTTCATCTTTATAAAGGGGACCAACGATCTTTCCAAGTGTTAGACACCATGGAATGGTTTTGTATGATGTTTGTGGCAAAAAAAAAAAACCCTTTAAAAATAAATGTTCCTGACTAAATTTAACATTAGATTTTATAGTAAAATGAAGATGTTTTCCTTATACATGTCCTGCGAAATATGAGAACTATATCATGTTTAGCTACTGTCATCATTTTATGTTCATTTTAAATCATTAAAATGCTAAATATATTGGAGAGGGGGAAGTATCTTGAATGAAAAACTAGACAACTGAAATAAAGACAACTTATTTCGCCAAAATGAGAAAACAGAAATCACTGTTAGCCCAACACCATGTACTCCAGAGAAGCCCTGTGATGCTCAGTCTCCCCAGTTAACAAGGCTATTTAGCCTGCCATCAAGGTATACAAAGCATTAGAATCCAACTCATTTGGAGGATCTTAGGCTGGGGTAATTTACTTGTTCTTTGAATATTTTTATACTGTCAGCTGCAATTGTTTTAAATAATACCTGCAAATGTCCCGCAATGACTCTGCTATTTGGAAACAAGTAGTTTGAAACTTCACATACAGGATCTTCTATGCCCACTGACATGCAGTATTCACGAGCTTCAAAACAAGCAGCTTGATAATCAGAATCTTTCAGGCCAATAACAGAGAGCATTCCACTTGGTATGCCTTCAGATGCCTCTTGCATGGCTTCAGCACGTATCTTGACAGCATACAAGGCTGAGGAAAAGCAAAAATCTCTATAAAGTGGCTTATCCAAGCTTGAGATTAATTGTTGCTACAGAGTAAAAATGGTAGCAACAGCAGAAATCCTAAAACACATTTCCACAGAATTCACAGATGGAGTATTCTGAAATCTTGGAAGGACAGAATACAATATTACATGATGTAAATTAATTGTTCTCAATTTGTTCCACAAATTTCTGTGGTCATTGGGAGAGAAAAGAGATGATACAATCTTATATACTTCTTCTATGTTGCATTTAATGTTATATAATGCTATGTTTTTCTTGGCAATGTTATTTGTTTCACAAAAATACATGCGTAATATTATACTATCTCAATTTAAACAGTGATGCTTTTGTACACTTTCAGTAAGGAACAATACTCTTTGTATACCTGACAATTAGAATAGGGAAACTTTAAAATGGGTAGTTTTTAATTAATACCGAAATTAATACCTATTTTTAAAAATAGCATCTTTCAAAAAAACTACTTGATAACAATGTAGTGATTCTTATAAATAAAAGGTCTGGGAATTGCTGATGTAAACTACTGACTTTAAAAGTTTAAATCTCTGGGGAATCTTTTTCATATCACATTTGGTTATCACAGAATTCACATGTCTTGCAGAAGATATGGGAATGTAGTAGCCTAAGCTCAGTTATGTAGAGATTTACTCTGGTTCAGTATGCCTCACACAGTCTCACATGGCCCAAAGGTATATCTGAAATAGGTACAATTTCTTGCAGCTATGTATTGCTTCTGTTTCATAGACATCCAAGGGTATTTCCTGGCAAATCACCCCAAAGTGAGCCACAAACTATGCAAGCCTGCCTTCATCAATAAGGAGCCTCCAAGTCATGGTGGTTGGAAGTTATAGGACCACAATGCATGTTCAGGAAATCAGATCCAAGGAAATTAAATATAATTAAAGGAAATTAAATATAAGTGAAGGGTCCCCCCCTCCCCAAAATCATAGAATTTAAGGACTGAAAAAACATCTTGGATCATCTAATCCAATTCTGTGCCTGGTGCGAGAATCTACTACCACAGGAAGTTATGTTTTGCTTGGGTTTCTTTCAGTATCACACTTTTCCCCACTTTCACTCTGGTTAGCAAATGCTAGGGCTACACAAAGCATTTCAAGGATATTCTCCAAAAATGCTGGCGCAACCAAAGCATCTCTTCTCAAAACACCAAGGAGGTTGGCACAGCTGAGGGCTTTCCCAGGGTGCCTATGCATGGGTACGGAAGAATATGTGCTCTGCTTCACTGGTAGCCCCCACATAAATGTTCCCTGCATACATATCTGCATGCATAGACAACATGGGAAAACTAAACCATGGAAAGGAAGTTTAATTATGATTTCAAATAATGTCTGCCTCCATAAGTTATGGTTTCCTATTTACCCGTTAAGAATTTAACAAATAAGAACCAGGAATTAAAAGTAGGCTTTGCAGGCATAACTTATAACTAGGCAAAACAGAGAGCAAAAAAAAGTATCTTTACTTCAAGATGCAGCTGAATTTTGACATGAAGCAAAAGATGAAGCTTGATAGTACTAAATATTTCCCTTGATTCTTTAAATTCAAAGTTTCACAAGAACTGCTTTTCAAGATCAATGTCTATGAACATCATACATTTATATTCATTTTTTTTGCAAGACTGCACAATTATCCTGAAAATAAATGCATCTATAACATATTTCAAGTGTACTAAATGGATGCAAAGTTCCATGAATGTTCCATGTAAGGGCTATAATTACTATGCTCAAAGAAGCACTTTCACATCCACTTATTTCATCAAATAAACTCTGCAATAAGTCCCACATTTCAACAAAAGTAATCACAAGCAGCTTTCCTTACTTCACTTTAAAAAATTAATATGCAATTCCGTTTTGGAGTTCTTGGAAAAAGTAAAAGCAGGATTGTTGTATCTGACTGATTTGTACCAGCAAATGAACAAATAGAAACAAGTGAATGGACAAATATATCACAAGGCTTTTAAACCATAAATGTATAATGCGTAACCTGACAGGACATAAAGGAGTTTCAGTACCCTCTTGATGCTGTTGCCTAATGGTACAGTGCACACTGTCACTACCTCTCTCATTCTGCCACCTCTTTTTATTCTTGCTAATCAGGAGTTTCTTTTTTACTCACATATTTTTGTATTTCATATTTGAGAATCAATTGAGGGGATCATTATAATGAAAATTAATTTTTATTCGTCTATTTTTAATGTGGCTATTTATTGCAGTGCCAAAATGTTGCTCAGGCTGATTTAGCCCTGAGCTGAACAAAAATTGTGCATCCCAATGTTACAAGAATGGGACCCCCCCACCACCATTTACATGTATTGATACTTGCTTTATACCTTCTGCATAATCTATGGCTCCTGCAAAAACAAGGGCAGCATATTCTCCAATGCTGAATCCAGCAGCTGCAATACAGCTCTCAACTACCTGTAGAAATTAAAAATTTCACATTTCTAAACATGTTCAGAAAGATAAACTCTACAATTTCTAGAAAGTTCTAAACTGATAGCAATGAAGCTTTTTTGGGGCCTTATTTTAGACACTAAGAAATGAATGCTTTGTTCTTCTTGACAAGGAGAATGTTCAGATATTTCTTTATGCTGCAACACTTATGGCACAGCACTATTCCAACATCCAATGTTTGGAAGATGCCAATGTATGGAAGATGCCAGTGTTACATCTTGCCCAGAAGCCACACACCTCTGCCTCCCCATTAGCCTCAGATAGAAGTAAAAAGGATTACTCAGTGATAAAAGAAAACATCTTTTGTAACTGTCCAGTAGAGTTTTCTAATTTTTATTTTCAGCTCTGAACTCAAAAGATTATCAGATAGAATACTGTCTCAAATTAAGCAGTCTAGTAAAATATGTGTGATATCACATGACCTGACTTACTATGGCAGATGCATCAGTCCTAGTTGCCGCCGTTAGGTGAATCCCACAGTCACAGTATCCTGTGGTCATGTGATCACTATTTGTGACCTCCTGCCAGCTTCCCCGTTGATTTTGCTTGTTGGAAGTCAGCAAAGATCACTAAAGGTGGTCACATGAATGTGGGATGCTGCAATTGTCATAACTGCGAGTTGGGTTAGGGTTAGGGTTAGGGTTAAAATCACAACATAAAAGTTGAATAAGAAATTAGAGGTTGCCATATGGTTTTGAAAGGTATATGTTTTTAAAAATCCTGATTTTTTGTTAAGTGTGTTAGGCTGAGTTTCCCTAATATGTCAGCTTCTATTGTCTATTTTCAAAGACTATATTCACATGAATGTGGGATGCTGCAATTGTCATAACTGCGAGTTTGGTTAGGGTTAGGGTTAGGGTTAAAATCACAACATAAAAGTTGAATAAGAAATTAGAGGTTGCCATATGGTTTTGAAAGGTATATGTTTTTAAAAATCCTGATTTTTTGTTAAGTGTGTTAGGCTGAGTTTCCCTAATATGTCAGCTTCTATTGTCTATTTTCAAAGACTATATTTAAAATCTCCAAAGAAGGAAAACAAAGTCTTCTTTGTGGATTGGTATGGGGAGGGAAAGGAACACAGCTGCTCAGGTCTGCCAACAACTCCACCTGGCTTATCTTCCAAATACTACAGCTTCTCTCTGGATAGTAGTGACTGACTTTAGCTTTTTCAACCACCTCTGCTGAGATTCCCCAGACAAACAGCTTGGATCCAAGTAGGTCTAATCTGCCTCTTCAGAATTTACCAGCCTGTCCTAGAAGGCAGGAGCTAAGCCTGATCTTCCATTCAGCAGTTTTTTGCCCCTGCTGGAAGGCTTCTCATTCACTTTTTGGTGCCCTTCATCCCCCCAGAAAACGTTATTTTGCGTGCCCCACTTTAAGTGATAACCGCTCTAGGAGTGGACTTTGGGGGAACACTCCCTTAATCCCATGATACATCACTAAATACCCCATCGCACCATTCTGCCGCGGGAACAGCTACGAATCCCAGGGTTGGAAGGGACCTTGGCGGTCTCCTATTCCAGCCCCCTACCCAGTCAGGAATCCTGAGACCAGCCCAGGGAAAGGGATGCTTGAAAGCCTTCAGGGACGGGGTCCCTACGACTTCGGCTTCCTCCCGCTCCCCACCCTCTGGGGCCGGGAGTCTCCCACACAGCCGCCCACGCAAGGGGCCCTCCTCACCGCGGCCTGCTGATGATGCAGCTTCTCCACGGCGGCTAAGGAGCAGACAAAGACGGCGGGCTGGCTGTGCACAGTGCGGTGCAGCTGGGTGCTCGGGCCGGCCTGGCAGAGGCGCCACAGGTCGTAGCCCAGTACGGCCTCGGCCACGCGGAAAAGCTCACGCACGTTCGGGTAGCGCAGCAGCCCGCGGCCCATTCCCACAAACTGGCTGCCCTGGCCAGGAAAGAGCAACACGGAGCTTTCCTCTGGTGCGCGCTGAACTTTCCGCGCCTTCTCGTCCACCTCGACGGTCGCGCTTTGCAGCAGCTGCTCCACGCTAGTCCCCAGCTCGCCTCCGGGCGGCTGAGTGAACGGGTCCCGACAGAGCCAACGCCGCACAACCACCCGCACCGCCATGGTGGTCCCATGCAGCGCCTAGGAAAAGTCTTGGCGGTTTCTGCTGCAATGCTGTTTCCTGGGCGGTGCCTCGTTTAAAAGCTTTCGCAAGAACCTTCCGCTTGCCGGGAAAAGAGGTTCCGCGTCTCCAAAAGGCGTGACGTCACTCCGGGGCGCAAGCGCTGTGTCGGTGCGCGCTGGTCACGCCCCTGGGTGGGTGTTTTAGGGCGCCAAGCGTGATAGAGGAATTGCTCGCGCTGGAACGCTGAAGGAGCTGGGGGGGGGCGCGGGTGGACTTGCGCGAGCCGGTGGGCGAGATCCTTGGACCGGGCAGCCCCACTTGGCTTCTCGCCTTTTGCCCTTGGAGCTCTTTTTCTCGGGCCCTGGCGCTGCAGTATAGCCAGCTCGAGACTGGGCAGATTTGACTTGCTGGAGTTTTGCGCGATGGGATAATTCAGGCTTTCAGGAGTAATAATTATTCGTTCCTTTTTCTTTCTCCTCCTGTGTTTCCAACTTTCTCCACGTTCCTTGGCCTTGGTATACAACATAAAAGGTTGGGATGCGTATGGCCAGCTACTGGGGTAAACCAGGGCAGAGCGGACCAAAGGGATGGTGGCAGAAGTGGTGGGAGGGCTCCGGGTTAAGGTGTTACTATATTTTTATCCCGACTTTATTTATATTTATATATTTATATATATGTGTGTGTGTGTTCAGCTCAAGGCTGCGAATATACCTAATCCTGCCTTCTCTTTTCCACACAGCAGCAACCCTGTGAAGTGAGTTGAGCCAGGAGGGACTGGCCCAAAGCCACCCAGCCGGCTTTCAGGCCTGACGGTCTTTTAAAGCTACTTCTGCTCTACTGTGTAGGAATAAGGTGTTCACCAGGAGTCAAGCTTTTTTAAAAAATATTTTTATTAAAGTTTATATATATAAAACCTAATACAAAACTAAAAAAAAACTACAAATAAAAAAAATATAAAGGTTGACTTCCCCCTCCCTCCAAATAAGTATATGTATTAACAGTAATTTAACACCTTCTCTAATATTACTAAAAAATAGCTGTCTTCATTCCCTTTCTCATCCCGAAACAATAACCAAATTATAAAAAATATTCAACAATCAATCTAATCAGCAAAAGCATTAAGA